CTGCTCGGACTCACCCGGTAGGAAGCCCCCTTTTGGCGAGTCGCTCCAAGAAGCCCGAACAAAAATACAGGAGGGGGTGGAGTTTTTTTCTTGATGAGGGTGGCTTTCTTGTTTTCTCCAAAGACCCCTGCAAAAGTGTGCCGGGGTGGGGGTGGGGGTGAAATAAAGGACTTTCAAACTGGCTACCGCTCATTCATTCCGTTCCTTGCGCCAATCACACCTGGTTCGCTCCTGAGCCTTGGCAGCTTTCGTCGCCCTCCTCCGGCTCAAGGGCCCCAGCCTGGCCTGCCACCTCCCATCCTGCTCCTTGAGAGTGTCGCCGGAGTTGAGCCTGCTCACGGCCCGGGCACTGCGCTACAACCCAGGCTATAGCGGAGGGCCGGGGTCTCAGACTGGCCGGCGCAGCTTAGAATGCGGGTGCTGCCACTCCTCGACTTGGGGAGAAAGAGGAGAAGCCTTAACCTTCCTCTGTGCCTCACTTTCCCCAACTGCAAAGTGAAGTCCACCTTAAGGGAGATGATGCCGGTTGACACACTGGCGCTGAGCATTCAGCACTTGGGAGTTGTTGTTTGTATTATTTTTGTTGTTACCATTTTAACTCAGTAAACTGACCTGTAGAGCGTCTGAGGCTTGAGGAAATTCGAGGCCCAATTTCCTCCCGATGCCGCCCAGCGTTTCAGCTTCTGAGGCCTGGAGATGAGAATGTTGGGGGGGGAGTAGGAGCCCTCCCTCTCCTCCACTAGCCAGAATCGCCTTGCTAAATCAGACTGCCGCGAGCGCCCGGGGTGATGGCTGATGTTTGGACACTTCTGGGCATCTCAGTTGAAGCGCTTTGCTTTGGCCGGCTATGGCCCTTGGTTTCTCCAGACATGACCTCGAATCCACCTCCTCCTGTGGAAAGCTACTCTTACTTAGCATTGTACGGCCTCGCGACTTTGACCGGCTGCGGACGCGGCGAAATAAATAATCCCAGATGGGATTGCGGAGATGTGATTTCCCAATTCACTTTGCGTAATCAAATATACGACCTGTCACAAGCCGTGGGGGTGGGAGCAAGAAGCTTGCGGGAGATCGCCGCTCTGCACCAGGCTGTTGGAATTCTCCCTTCCCCCGCTCTGCGTGTCCAAAAGGCTGAACAAAAAGGATGGCGCGATCTGGGCTCTCCCCTCTCCTCCGTGGGAAGCAGGGTTTAAATCACACACAAGTAAGGCCGAAAGGGACGCCCTTAGTCCACGCCCTGGGTTTACAAAGGAAAACCGAAGCTCAGAAAAGTTCATGGGACTTACCAGGGGAACACACTACTAAGTAGTGACTGTGCGGACCCAAAGAGCAACTGCCCCTGCGACTCCATGTTTTCACGGTCTTTTTAAATGTGCTCTTTGCAGAAGAGTATGGAGTCAGACGCAGGAAGGTGAAGTAATCATGCCTTC